TATACTTAATTTGTTATATCGAAACATCAAAATGTTTTCAACATCAAGCATTTCTTGCTTGGAGCAACCTTTCTAAGAAGCATCTTCTTCATTTTGGTGACGGATAGTTGCCTCTTTCTGTCACATGAATACAATCACACATCCCTACTTTACAGTAAGTTCCAAAAGAAAACATTATCCTTAAGCTCAACAAACAATTCATTAGAATATGATTACCCACCATTTTGTGCAATGACAGCCAGTGACGAAACTCAACATTATTTTACAAGGGGCATTTAAATTTCTTTTGAGCAAACCAAGAATATTAATAACGTCCATCACATTTTTCTTGAGAAAATAGATAATTAGATTAATATATTTGATATAGACATGCAGTCAAGTCAAATTTAATCTTGTTTATTAACTGTATATTCTTACATTGACTTACATAACTCGGGATCACATTCTATAAACAAAGATTATTGTTTTCAACCTTAACAACCGGAGACATAGGAAGAGAAAGTGTATGCGCGTGTACGTGCGTGCGTATATGTGTAACTTTTTTTAAAGATTAAAATTCATGAACCCATCTAATAAATATATATATATATATATTTAAAATAAAATCATAAATATTTATTGAATTAAAAAATATTTTCAAAAATTTTATCTTTCAACCGAGATAAATCATTTTATAATTTTACTGAGGTCATCAACTCAAAGATGAACAACCAAAGAGGAAAAAATACATAATTTTTTGTATTTTGAAATAAAAATGACACAAAGGAAATTATTTTATATTACAAATATCGAGATTCGAACCTACACAAGATAAGATAATATGAATATCATTGACTATTCAATTAATTAATATATCTCTAAGACAATCAAATTTAATACTTTATTATACACCTCTCTTGAGGGGCCACGGCCCATTAGTCTTAAAAGAGTTCCGCACCGCAGTATCGCACCCACAATTGGAGGGGTGGAGTCAATAATGAACGAATCGACACTGATGCTCTGCAGCTATTCAACAATGGGAAGAAAACGGTGCAAAAGTTAATATCCTACCATGACTCTGGTTAGACTTTCTCTTTCTTTCTTTCCTTTCCTTTATTGGTTTGTAGCCATTTCCATACAATGCCATGATCCTTGTTTAATATTTTTCAATATGATCCGATTATTATCCTACGATGGTTAGTTTCTCAATTTTTATAAAATAAGAAGGTTAGATTGCGGGTATGTTAGATCCTATTGGAAGCCTATTTGGTTAATTACATTTCATGAAAAATGTCGAATAACACCTGTAATGGGTTAAACAGGGGATATTACCTCATCTCACATCAATGAAGCTTTCGGTGAAAATATTTGGTTCCAAAATAAAATGTTGGGGTTAAAGTGTTTTTTTTAAAAGGAGTCAAAATGATATTATTATCAAACGTTATGAGTATTTTGTTGTATTATGTCCACTAACTAACGTTAATTTTTATTCAACTAATGATTTTCATAAAGTAAATCATTTTGACCTAAAATGAAATATTAAATATTAAAATATTTAAAAATGGGTCAAAGTGATTATTCGGACAAACATTAAGTGTGAATTTTGATATTATATCTTTCTAAAACGTGTGATGATGAAAACAAATTATGAGATAATACTTTAACAAAATTTTAATTTAAAATTTAAGTATTTTAGATATGATATTTTGAATTGAAATATATATTTAAATGATATATATTTTTTAATATTACAGTGTATGATATATATTAATTTAAAATATGATAAAAATATAAGAATAGTTTTTTTAAAAAATAAATTTGTAATGAGTGTACTTATATCACGAAAATATCTAAAATTTGAAATATATTTTATCTAATAAATTGACATATTAAAATTTTAAATAATTTATTAATTATATATTTATATCTTTGATAGAAATTATAAAAAAATATCACAAGATAACAAATGAATGTTGAAAATATAATTTTATTTCTAAAAAAAAATTTAAATGTAAAATTATTTTTTTATATAATAATTGGTACCATATCTATTAATCAACTAATCTAGATCGGGTATTACAGAGGCAATGACAATCCACCCAACCTAGTTTGTTCCATTCTCAAAACATTATGATTTAAGCTCCTAACCTTACTTAAGGGATCCAGTGCTTTATATCACTAGATCATCTGGTTATTGATTATAAAATTAAATTTTTTATATCAATTAAAAATATTTTTAATTATATATTTTTTAAAAGAGTATCTATTTAATACTGTCATTTAAATTAATTGTTGATATTTAATTTATTGATTAATTAATTGAATTTTGTAAAGATATATTACGACAAAGTTCTTCTAACTTAGTTTAAAATTATTTATTAATTAGGGTAAAGTATAATAATGGTCATTGAACTTTTCTAAAGCTTTCATTTAGGTCCCCAAAATTTAAAATTTGTAATACAATCCTCTAACATTTAGTCCATTTCAATATGATCCCCGACCGTTACACTGCTGTTAGTTCGTTTACAATATGGTCACTAAACTTTTCAGGTACTTGCATTTAGGTCCCCCAACTTTTAAAACTTGCAACACATTCCTCAATTTCATTCTAAACCCTAAATTCTAAAATACTTTAATTTAGGGTTTAAAATATAATTAAATTATTTTGGAATTTGGGATTTAGAATGTAATTGAAGTGTTTTGGAATTTTGAACATGAATTTGCTATTTGACAGTGTTTACTTCAATATAAATTTGAGGTTTATTGCATGCACATCCAACAATTATCGCACTTTGAACATGAAAAGTGCATCTATCACATTTATTGTATAAATCGTTGAAGTAAAAGTAACAAGGCCAATTTGTCTTGTTCGTAGCTGTCGCACTTTGGTATGACAATCCAATAGGTTTGGATGAAATTTGAGCATGCACATCCAACAACTGTGAAAATAGTAAAGAGTTTTAGTTCATAGGACTACAACATACTTCCAAGCAATAACTAAAATAAACCAAGAATATCAATTAATAACTCATTCAAAATGAGGACTTAATAAATAAAGGGAAAAATGTTCGGTCATAGTCACTCCAAAAGCTAAGGCGTTAAATGGGTTGTTTAAGATAAACATTGGATACCAAATACAACATTACCAGTTGCAAATGCATTATTGGCCTACCCTTTTAACATATGATTGCTTCTAATGCTCCATGTTTAATGTTCCTCAATAGCCAAACATGATGAGAATCTAAAGCAGATAGCGGAACTAAAATCACAGGACCCCATAATTCTTGTAAATTCATGGCATGTCAGTAATAAAAGACATTGTAAAACATAGAGGACACTACAACAAACATATATATGCCAGAAATGAAGGTGCAAATGTGCAATGACTAGGCAACATATCAAGTAGCTGTTCTAAATATACTACCCTGTCATGATGTCTTTCGAGTTGTGTGCATTCAGAATTGTCTTATAAAACTATAATTCAATACAGATTCAATTGTAAAATTTCCAAAACATGTAAAAAATTCAATTTGTTCACGATATATCAGTCACATAATCAACATGAACTTATTAAAAATCCAATTTGTTCACGATATATTAGTCTCTCGGATTGAGCCTGGCAATTTCACTATGTCGATACTCACAATCAATTCTCTGATTTAAAGAAAAACCGAACAACAAGATCAAAAAAAATTAGCCTAGGAACCTCTTTCACTTATATTCTGATGGACTAAATTTCATAATGAGTACTAAAAGTTTTGATTAAGAAGAATGAAAGAAAATTAGATGGTTTTAGTTCAAAACTAACACTGAATATCCAGATCCTTGACATGCAGTTCCAGAAACATAAAAATTTCAACAAAAAATACACAATGCGAGCTAAAAATAGGAAAGTGCGAAAGAGGAAAAGCTTACTTCTGGATAGCCCAAAAGAAAAAATAAATACCTTCTTGCAAGTGAGGGGAGATGCTAAGAAATAAACGCAATCGGTGTTGCATTCCAGCAATTCTTCCTCTATTTTTTCTTTGTAAATAAAAAGCTGAAAGACAGAGTATTACTTGGGTTTACAATTTTACATGGCGGAAAATTGAAGAACAAAAACCAAACGAGAGTGCATGTGAACGAAAGAGACTGAGAGGTGAATTTGTTGTTTGGGATTTCATTATATTTGATCATCTGTTTGAAAATCTTTAACCGCAAGGATTAAACGAAGAAATTATTATATGCCATTTATACAAAATAATTATAGCTTTGTGGGTGACTTTTAACAAAGATACTTAGTTCATCTTAGTAGTATTTGTCAACCCTACATTTCTAACCACATTTTTTTCTCACAAGCATTTCATCGAACATCTATGCTTCACCTGAGATGATCTGTATCTAACATTACACCTTGAATCGATGATGGTCCCGATAGTCCCTTGGTCGGGTCTTCTCTCAATGGACCCTTATTCAAGTCAACATCTCCAAATAATTCAAAGTTAGATTAGAATTTCTCATGCATCCCCGGCTGAAAAGTTACGCATGAAATGAGAAGAGAGAAGCAAAAAAGGAAATTTGAGATCAAAAAGGAATTTAGGGTTTAGAATGAAATTGATTACTATGTTGCAAGTTTTAAAAGTCAGGGGATCTAAATGCAAGCGCCTGAAAAGTTTAGTGACCATATTGTAAACGTACTAACGATAGTGTAACGGTCGGACCATATTGCAAACGGATAAAGTTGAAGGACTGTATTGCAAGTTTAAAAGTTAAGAGACCTATATGAAAACTTTAGAAATGTTCAGTGATCATTACTATACTTTACCCTATTAATTAAAAAGTGTTTTTAAGTCTTAAAATACTTTTCAAGGCAACAATAAAAATGAGAAGTAGATAAACGTCAACGTAAACGTCAACGTAAACGTCAACCGAAGAATTTCCTCCTTTCCCTTTTATAAACTAATCCTTCTCCATTGAAGCTTTGTTCTCCATTGCCATTTTGAAGTTCACTAATCTTATCATTCTTCATTCAACCTCCCTCGTTTAATTTCCCTCACTCTTCTTCTTCTTCTTTGACTTTTTTTTTAATACTCAGCTGAATGCATCATCAATCCATAGCCTTAAAACCCCTCCAATTCCCTTTCCCGCCCCACCTTCACCCTCCTGACACTATCCCTTATCGCCGCCGTTTTCCCATCATTTCCTTTCCCCTCCATCAAAACACCACCACTTACTCTCCCTGTTCTGCCGCCAGCTTCCGGAGTTTCCATATCCCAGTTTCCAATCACCCCCCTCGCTCTCTCCCATCCTCTAACGCCATCAAACACGCCGCCGTCAAAACCGTCGATGTCGCAACTCTCGGCAACCTCTGTGTTGATATTGTCCTCAATGTTCCCAAATTGCCCCCGTCATCTCCAGGCCCACGCGAAGCCTTCATGGAACAGTTGTCATCTTCTCCTCCCGATAAGGTAAAAAAAGGAACTCTTTTCAAAATGGAATTTTTTCCAATTCATCAAGTTACTTTTATGGAGAAATTACTAATTTTTAATCTATGGGTTTTTCGAGTTCTAGCGATATTGGGAAGCGGGTGGAAACTGTAATACGGCTATAGCAGCTGCGAGGTTGGGACTCAATTGTCTTTCAATAGGTTATGTCGGTAATGACATTTATGGAAAGTTTCTTCTAGATGTGCTTCGTGATGAAGGAATTGGTATGGTTGTAATGAGTGAAGAAACTGATTTTGTCAATAGTCCTGGTCGTTCTTATGAAACTCTCTTATGTTGGGTGCTTGTTGATCCTTTACAAAAACATGATTTTTGCAGGTAAATAGAAGCATGTCTTTTCTCTGTTTAGCTACATAGGTCGTCAATTTTGTTTGAGAAAAGGGTTGCTGAATTTTTTTCTGTTTCTTTCCTTTTCATTAGTCCAGTAGATTTTTGTGAGGAACCTGCTTTTAGCTGGATGAGTACACTTTCTGAAGAAGTAAAGAGGGGTATTAAGCAGTCGAGGATCCTTTTTTGTAATGGTTATGCTTTTGACGAGCTTTCCCCTGCTTTGATATCCTCAGCTGTGGATTGTGCAATTGAAGCTGGTACATCAGTGTTTTTTGATCCCGGGCCGTGTGGGAAGAGTCTTTTAGGTGGAACTGTGGAAGAGCAAAATGCAGTTAGGCATTTGTTGAGGATGAGTGATGTCCTTCTTCTAACATCTGATGAGGTTTGTTGCATTGCTTTTCATAGAATCAATGAACACTTCATTCCATTTTTCCTTCTCTTTTCGAATTGTGCTTCTGTATCAATGCCAGACGCCATTCTATCACATTTTGATGTCATTGTAATTATTTTGATATCCCATGTCGTCCTTCAATATGACTTGCATTGCTACAATTTTATTTTTGTTGTATAGGAGGCACCTCCTTCAATCTGAACCTCTTAGGCCTCCATGCTATTATACGTGTTTTAATTCACGCCTCAATCAATTCAACTCTCTTCTAATCGCTGGGAATGATTAGTCCATTTGTGATCAGTTCCTTAGATGAACCATTAGTTGTGGAATTTGTATCATCTGTCTGAGACAAAAGTATTGAGTTCTTGCTCTCTGCCTCTCTCTCTCTCTATATATGTGTGTGTGTGTATGTTATATATTGTTGATATGTAGTGATATTGTAAACATTGTTTGGCCTTCTATAGCATTTGATGTTTTCCTAATTTCCTATCTCCTAGATCTACCAGCTGTTTACCTAATTACCTATACTTGCATTTAATGAATTTCAGGCCGAATCATTGACTGGCATAGTGAACCCCATACTAGCAGGGGAAGAATTGCTAAGTAAAGGAGTCCGCACCAAATGGGTGGTAGTGAAGATGGGTCCTAAGGGTTCAATTCTGATAACTCAGACAAGTATTTCTTGTGCATCAGCATTTAAGGTGAGTTATAGTCTTAGCTCCATTGTCTATTCAAAAGCATAACGGGTTACTGCACATTATAACTCATGGATACTGTAAGGTATAACTTACAAAAGTTTTAGATACGTATGGAATATCTGTAGTTTTTTCTCAGTAATCTAGACCATGCAATTTTAACATGCCTATTTGTTCTCGAAATATGATGTCGGCTGTCTGGAAGTTTTCATACTATGTTATGTGAAGAAGTTAGAGGTTCTATCTGACTATTCTTTTGAATTTGGTCAATCTAACTTTTCTAGATTATTTCGAAAATTTGATCAGGTGAAAGTCATGGACACCGTTGGCTGTGGAGATAGTTTTGTTGCAGCAATTGCATTTGGTTTTATACATAATTTTCCTTTGGTTACAACATTAGGATTTGCGAATGCTGTGGGTGCTGCTACTGCCATGGGTTGTGGCGCCGGTAGGAATGTAGCAACATTGAAGCAAGTTGTAGAACTCATGGAAGCACATGACCTGAACGAGGATGATGGTTTTTGGAAGGAGCTACTTGGTGAACATTTGGAATCAGAAGAGGTTACTTTTCTGACAAAAATGGTTTTAAATGGAGGCAATGGCAGAATGAATCGTGTTGCATTCCGAAAGGCGGTTTCTGAATTGCTGCCCAAGCTAAAATCTTGTCAATTGGAGGGAACACTGTCACATTGATTGACTTGCAACAGGCGTTCAGCAATGGTGCAAAAAGTACATAGCAAGTCCATATATGAATTCAACAGGCATTTTAGTAGTTACTAGATCTTCAGTGAGTTTATGAACACTTTTTTTGGCGACAGTCGGTCATACTTTGATAGATTCGTGCAGTGGCTGAAAGAAGCTTTTGCATAGCTATATAAAATTAAAAAGATGTTCACTTTGTTTATGTATTTTTATAATTATTTGTTTTGATTTTGTAACTTGAAAGATAGCGTCCCCCAATATGTATCAGAATATCAGTTGTCTCATGCTTTCATGTGATTGTTGTGCAATCTTTAACAAATCTTTAAAAAGAAAAGGATTTTGCAGTATTAGAATCTTTAAAACTTGTGATTTTGCAAATAATCCCATTTCTTCTGATATACCAATAATAATTTCCCTTAACCGTATATGTATTAGTTAGAATTAGAGATGTAGAAGTCAGACAATATTCACAAATTTATCCTAGAATTCAATAAACCAATAAAGGGATGTGGGCCTCCTGGACTGAGGAACAAATTCACTCAACATGATCAAGTGCAAACTGGGACTACAGAACTTACGATCCTAAAGAAATCTGGTGCAACCTCAATAACCATAATCAGTGCCATAGACTGAACCGTAGTCTATGACAGTTACACGGCAGACATGACCACTGGCATCGAACGATGCATATAGAGGAGCATGTACAGGATAAGGACTATACTCCTCACTGATTGATCCGCCTGGTGGGCTCTGCATTGCACTGGCAGCTTCAGCAATAAAGTTCTGAGTCATTCAAGAAAAGAGAGATGCGTAAGATGCATGAATATATCGGTTATCACAACTGAATGTTTTGTAGTCAAATAAAAAATTTCAATGTCCATTGTTAATATTCTAGGGAAAAGTTGAAAAGAGAAAAAAACTTGTGAAGGAATGCAAGTCAACAGTAGAGTTAGTCAAACGAGTACCTGTATCAACTGCTCAGCAGCTTGTACTTCAGAGGAAGAACCAGAAATTTCAAGTCATATCCCCAGGCACGTCTCTTGTTTCGTGTATAGCTATAGCAGCCCCACTGACACGGCGCATATAACTTATATTTGCACCAGATGTCCCAATTCCAGCATTTGCATATGATAAAGGAATTTGCTATCCAGTATACATGATAAGCACAAGTCAGTAATAAAATTCTAGAATTTCTATCATTTGACTACTACATTACGTAAATAAGTAAAAAGAAATATAGGCAACAAATAACTATTAATGTGGAGAGAAAAGCAGCTAAGACTAAGGATTCATATATCAGCAACTTCTGTTAAACAGCATTGAAAGCAAAAAGGTTAAGGGCATTTTCACAAGTTAGCTAATATTTAAGATATTTTTACATCCACAGCAGCAATGAATTGGTGCAAACTTCTATCCGGCCATTTTCAAGGGGCATTGAAAGACACAAGTTGTGTTTGCACTATTAAAAGTTTATAACGTTTAAGCATTTGTAACTTAAAATCATTTCCAATAATGCTAAAGCAAGAGCTTTAGCCCAACAATTGATACAAGTTTCCCACAACTTAAGAAGGATAGACGGTTAAACATGAAGACAGAAGACTGCACCTTTGTCATTACTGACTGTTTGGCCAGCACATTTGATGAATGACCTTCCATAGAAGCATGCTTTCCATATACTAGTGGGCCCTGATAAGAATTCTCGAAATGCAAAAGCAGATCATGAGGTTCATAACCATCGTCAAATGGAGATTCAATTTCCATATATTGTGGCTTAGAACCAACATGAGCTCCATTATCAGCATGTGTTAGAAAACCATGCAGATGGTGCTGGGATTGGAGCATGGCCATATTCTGATTGGCTCTCACATTTTGCATCTGCATCTAACAAGAAGCAGAACTTTAATTAATAATACACACTGTTGATAGCCGTAAATATTGTGCAATTTTATTTCCATGAATCATACATCCATGTATAATAAGTTGAATAACAACTATTCAGAGTAGATTGTTCAACTGGTGCAAGCACAAAGAACTCACATGTAATGCTATATCTCTGAACAAAAAATGGACAAACTGAGGTCATCCACAGCCAAATTTAAGAAAGCTCACGCAGGCACCAATATCTGCAAGGCTGGCTTGCCCAAGCGGGCTTTCCTAAGGGGTTTGCAATGACTAATTTGGGCAATGCTAAAGGCAATACCAACTATTCGAGCCAAAGTATTCTTCATGAGAATAAATTACAGACCCTAGTTCCAAAAACGTGTTGTAAACTTATAATGTCATATAACTTAAGCCCTAGACAAGGATGATATTTGACATTAGAACCTCCAAGACAAATAGGTGGCAGGAACTGGTCAACTAAAGCATCAGGAGCAAAAGGCTTACTTCCACTTCAAATACCCCAAAATGCTGTGGTGAACCAAGAATTTCCGGCGATGGCTTTCAATTAGCTCAACTGCAGCATGTACACATGTGGGCTCACCCACTATCTCCACAACATATCATCTTTCAAAGAAAAAACTGGCAAATGTTCTGTTGGAAATTATTCAACAGCATAAGAGTAGTAACATCCAAGCAGGTATCTAAGCATCTAACATCCTAGAAATCAACATAATTTTCATAAGTACCTCCTCCAAGAACTCAAATAATGCAATTAGAAGCATCTTGAATAGACTTTATAATACAGCCCTGTCTGCCAATCGAGCTTCCTGCCTGAGTATCTGCCACTAGAAGCCGTGTGATAACTCTGACACTTGCATCTGCCGTAGTATGATCATAATTACTGTCTAGACCAAGAATACGTCTATGAATCCTCAACAAGGCATCCATGGATGAAGGAATAGGGGCATCAGGCTCTTCTTTAGCAGAAACCATGACCTTATGCGAACAAAAAGAGTAAACCATTAAGTTACAAATTGACATTCATCCACTAAGTAGAGATAATCCATGGACCTTTAAATTAGAAAACAAAGACTTTATATTGGCAATATTGATTAATCTTCAAAGTCAATCCTTCACAAACAAAATTAAACTAATAACATTGAGAGCTTTAAAATTAAAATAAGCCTATTTTTGTCAATAATAATATAACTGCAACAATTTTTTTTCCTACTGGTTATTGGAATTCAAATCAATAAAATAAGGAAACCAGCATAATCATTGCAACTTATATAGGTGGATGAAAACATGTACAATCCTATCATTCAACTTACAGAAAAGAGCCAAGTAAGAAGAGTATGTCTTAGCAATGAAAGAATGATTGCGGAATCATGGGAAATCAAATAACGAATTCAAACCTACTAAATGTAGAATGTAATCAATAATAGCGAGAAGGAATGCCACATGCAAACGAACTCAATTCAAAGCATTATAAAAGGTTATTTTCATATTTTTATAATAAGTTTCTATCTTATACGTGTAAAATATAACTGAGCCCATCAACATGTTTGTAAGTTAATTTTTTTTGCGTAATTGACATAAATCTCCAAAGCATTAATTACAAATTTACAATTACTAAGTTCTTGACTAAGAACCCTGCTACTAAACAAAACCCTCTGCACAAGCAAACAAAATAGAAAAGGATAAGCATTTTTAAATGCAATTCAAAAGGCGAAAAGGATTGGCACATATTCACAACACCAACCTTTAGCTAACATATTGTAGATGTCAGTCTGTAGAATATAAAATAAATTGAATAGCTTTGACAATTTAGGGGTTTTTCTTCTTGCAAAGAATTTGAAACTGCCTGGCAAGACAACAATTGCTCAAGTTATGAAGTTACCAGAACAGTGCAAATCTTCTTGGAACCAAGGCCTGGAAAAGGCATTTTTATTTGTTAAATCAAATGAACTGTTTAGCACTTGCAAGGCTCAATATCAACCCAGTATATCCCTGCAATCTTGAGCTTCGAACTTCTGGTTTGAAATCACTTTGGTCATTGGTTTGGTTCCTAAGATTTGTGGAGGACCTGCAAACATTCATTTTGGCTATATTAATATGCTTTTAAGCTTCATGTTTTCTTTTGTTTTGAGTTGACAATTTGACATTACTTGGTTATTGTTCTTAAAACTCTTCACGTCTCTTTCAAGAAGTTGCGTTTAGTTCTCAGTAATGTCCCATCTATAAGTGGTCAAACTTCAAACCGTTATCTCGATAATGAGAATGGAAACTGATAATTTATTGTTTGCAAAACATAAGAACGCAAGAAAAATAACTGGAACAATTTATCATGGTGTTGCAATTTAAGTTTGATAATATTAGTTTTTGAATTCCAATAGCTTATAAAGATTCAACAGGTAAAGAGTTATGAGCTACTGGGTCCTTAATACTGAAAAGTGAAAACAACAAGAGAAAGAGAGATAAGCAATGGATTATACACTTTAAGAGACAACACACAAGGTAAAACAACCGAATGAAGCAAATAAAAGCAAAAAAAATCATAATGTAGGATTAAACAATGCGAATGAAGCTTCAAAAAGAGGACTCACAGCTCTTTCAGAGGAAGCAGGAGGGGCATCGAGAATCTTAATCCGAGCCCTTGATTCGTCGGAAAATTTCCTGATGAACTCTCCTTTGCGGCCGATGATACTACCTACCTTCTGGGCGGGAACCAACATTCTGAAAACGATAACACCAGGCCATCCAGGCCACTTCTTTTCACCATCTTCTCCGCCAAATATTCTGGCGCGTCACTTGCATTAGGATATTCATAACTTTCTCCTTCCATTTCCCACTTTTTAATTTTTTTTGGATAAGTTATTTTTTTTATGGGCTAAACAAGCGAGCAAAATACAATTAATTTATATAAACATTAATTCGATAAATTTTAGGGTGTATTTGGAAAACCACCTAATAATTAGATTTAAATATAATTAATTTTTTAATCTATTGGAAACGTACGCATATAATAAATATTTTATCATAAATATTTTACGTAATTATCTAAATATAAAATTAATATCAACATTCTCTTTTATCATTAAAATCAATTGATACATTCAAAAAATAAATTTTTTACAATTATAAAATAGGGTTTAAATAAATATAATTTTATAATAATAAAAAGCCATTATTCTGTAATGTACCAAAAACTATAGTGAATGTTTTTGCACATATGTTAGGAATCGTAAAAGATTTTTTTTTTTTTTACAAACGTATAATTTCAAGAATATGTGTTTAAGTTTTCTATTTATTAATCGATTTACATAACTTGGGCGATTAAGAAGCATACATAAAAAATTTTTCCGCTGAAATTATTTCAATTCAATAAATTGGAAATGTAATAACATTAAATTTAC